AGAGAAAGGAACATTTTTATTTCTGAGCTCATCCGCGTTTACAGGATAAATGACATGGCTCTTGAAGATATACTAGGTATATATGTAGCTTTTCATATTTGCAAAATAGTAATTATTGAATTTCACCGTTTATTACACATAAGTCAAGAATCAACGATCATGAAAATTACCTTGGAACACATTTAAGTGGAGACTAAGTTTTGGAGCTAATTATAGAAGTCCCCAAATAAAAAAACAAAAATAACCTAGCGAAGTTTAAATATTGTAATGAATGTATCGTTCCCAAAACATCAATATATAATAATTTTTCTCAATTTCCAGCACACTGGAACTATGACAATTTTGTTAAAGTCTAGCTCGGAACTAGTTCTGAACTGTACTTGCCTCACGCATACGCAGAAATTAATTTAGAGTTCAGAACTAGTACGGAATTCCTCCTTGGAACAACCGTAGTCTTAAATATAATTGACGGTGTACCCTGGCCGCTTGAGGCATTACTGTCGCGCGTCTTTACAGAGAAAATATAACTTACTAACTGACAGAAGTGATTAAAGTTTTTTAGAATGTCATTTTGGAATCAGTTAACAAATCTACACAATTTTAGTGGGCTTGCCATTCCATATCTATCAATCCCCGTATTATCACTGAGTAATAAAATTTCTTTTCCCATATTTTTGATCAAGTATTAGATATTTGTGGCAAAATTACTATGGCATGAAAGGATTATTCAATGGAAGAGGAAATCATCAGCAGCAGCCTATGTCTAACAACATGTCTTCATATTCTTTGGCATTTTACCTAATCTCACTTGATTTTGTCAGCCTGTAAGTTGCACTTTTCTTCGTAAAGAAGTTCGATACCTGCACAGCTTGTGGTTATTATAAAATTACTTTTGTTATTATTATTATTATTGCCATTGGGAATACGAAATATTTTTATCGTTAAATGCTTCTAAATGCACAATAATAAAAATGATAAATCGTATTAGATTTCGGCCAAATATCTAGAGTGATTCCATAGTGTAACAAACTTTTTCCCCTTACAATGGACTCAAAAATTATCCCTTGGATGTTCTCTCTTTCTCCCTTACTTTTGAGATACTTTATATATATATATATATATACGTATATATATACATTATTTAAAATGCTTTATTCGTTTCAGTATTCATTCGCAGTCACTATTCCTGACATAACCATGGTAAACCCGAAATATTCACAGTCATATGTTAGTACGACATCACACATCGTTACTCCAAAAATGTATTTTCGCTGTAGCATTTACTCAAGTCTTCTTATTTGTATTTTTCGTTGAAGTGTTGTCGTCGGTTTATTTTCGGAACATTAACCGACCTCCCCATTCATTCTAGTTAAGGCATTATTCATTAGACGCTTAATTAAGTGCACAAAGTGTGTACAAGTATGCGACATTTAAAACGTTTCTTGTGTTTGGTGCGAGCCTCGAATTATTTTTCACAACGTTCTTTTATTACCTTTGGCGTTCTCACATCATGGGTGGCGGCTTTTTCTCAGTTTGGCCAAAGTGCACGGAATATTAATAGTCGCTTCGCTCAACGTTCAGACCAGATTATTCCTACGACCGGTTCCCGCTTATTCCAGAGAATCGGTATTTTAATTTATTATAAAAAGAGCAACAGAATTTTATTTATATTACTGTTGTTAGAATACTTTGTTAAATCCATGTTGGTGTCATTATTGGACCAGAGCAATTTCCAACTACCAGTCTTACATAAAAAAATGTGACACCTTTTTTATACAAAATGAAATTCTCTATAATTTGATCCCATATAATTTTATCGTACGGTCAACCCGAGAAATTTAAAGTCAAAGATAGAAATAAAACCGTGGTTCTTAGCAGATATTCCTAGGTAGGCCTTAAATTTATCAGTCATTTATTTCGTATGCCAGATTTATCCCAAAATCACTGTCATTTTTTCCTGACTTCGAGATGGGATATTACAATAAACTGCATGTTAAACATTGCCACTTTTTCTTCTCTACAAGATGACATAATTAGAATTTCATTTTGACATTTCGTCTCTTGTCCTCTAGCATCAACTTTATTTTTTCTTAAGGATTTTTGGGTAAACGAATAGTGCCTTTAATGCTGATTTCAAAAAAGACATAGCCAAACCTTAGTTATTCCAGAAAAACAGGAGTTCCTAGATAGGCATTGAAATTATTATCAAATTACATTTGTACGGTATACGAGACCAGACTTAAATTGAACATAGCAACTGAGCTGGGAAGAGAGAAGAAGAGAAATAGATCGAGCAGTGAACAACGTACAGAGAAGAGTCAAGCTGTGCTTGCAAAAGAACGGACAACATTTTGAACATCTGTTATGACTTACCTCTGCTTATTTATGATCCTTATTGCTATTACCACCAATAAAATTTTCAGTTTGTGTTCAGGTTTCACCATACCTTTTTATTTTCTTATAATTTTTATCCAACAACAAATTCATGGCCAACTCTGAAAACTGAAAGTTCTACTTTAATGTACAACATGAGAGTCGAAAGAAGGAATGTCGAATTGAAAATTTCATCACGCTATCTTGTAGAGGAGATAATACGTTACAATGACTACATGCAATTTATTTTGTAAATCCCATCCCAAGGTCGTGAATCCGTTACAATCTGAAACGAATGACTTTCTGATACCTTCAATGCTTACCTAAGAAATTCTGCTTTATTGAAAAAAAAACAAGATCTGGCAAAGTCAATATATATAACGTATCATACATTTCTGGAATCACAATTAATTCATCTGCGCAAAATCCAATATGGCATCCATAAGATGAAATAAAGTTGATGCGAGAGGACAAGAGACGAACCGTTATATTGAAATTTTAATCATGCCATCTTGTAGAGGAGAAAAACTGGCAATGTTAATTATGAATTTATTTTAAAGTCCCACGTCAATTAAAGTCAGGAAAAAATTAATACGGTTTTGAGGTAATTTGGTTTTGGTTACCTAAATACGTAACTTTGCTCCCCTTTAAGCGACTTCGTATCTCTTACATCTCTCTGCCCTGTAGATGGCGCGGAGATCTTCAATCCCTTACTGACCTCTCAGGTGGCTAGTTTAACTAGGTATCTTTAGGCATTGATTAAAGTATTTCAAAGATGCATAAGTAAAATAAGTGTTAGAGAAGCCAAAACACTCTTCACTTTGCTTAAAGTAGATTTCTAAATTCATTTTTGGGTTCTGTTACTGTCTCACACTTGGTGGTATGATCTTTTTAGATGGCTTCAGCTAAAATACCTCAATAAATGCCGAAACTGATCTTACATAATCTTTCTGAAATGATTACCTGGACATCGCCATGTTTCTGGGCAGATTTTGGGAAATTGTTATTTAAATTCAACTGGCAGCTTATCAGACCTTTTTGAGCACCTTGCAGAAATATAAACGAAGGCAATATTTTTGTCGTCTGCTCTAGCTGTGTCGGTTGCCTTGCCCGCCAGGAAGCTATTGCGGGTGACTGAAATGTTTACCAACAAAAAAGAGCGAGAATACCGCTTTGCCGGGACTTTTCCTGTATATATGGAGGGCTGCTGGCACCGCTAAACAATTCGGAAAGTTTTCCCGCTAGTGATCCAACTATTTGTAATCTGTAAACTTGGTTTGGCGCGGCGTCTGTGACCAGACTAATTCCTGAATTTATTCATAAGTTCTATTCCCAGGCAGCTGGAATTTATCTGGCAGATCGCCGGTGGCGAATTTTTTCATTAAACGGCCTGCGTCGTAAATAACGCTGTAGTTTCTGTAATGAGGACTTCTCTCTAATCAATTTGATTAATATATCAGGGATGTCGGGTATGTTTTATTGTGGAGAAAAACAAACACTCCAGGTCTTGATTGGAGCTCATAAATAATATTCTCGAAACTTCAATAAATAAGTCTTTTTTTACTTACAATGAAATCTTGGATATGCTTTCGAGTACATTTGAAAGTCTCCAATATGTTCTGGAAACTGTAGGTACCTCAATAAGAAGTCGGTACTTCATATCAAGGTATCGAGCATGTCAACGATTTCCGTTTCCTCAGCAATAATCTAGGAACTGTTCAGTATCGAAACCTGAATATTTGTTATCAGCCTGCAGCGCATTTTTGACCAGAAAATAAATAGTAGGATTTTTCTCAGTTCTAGAGAGCACTTGAGAAAAAATCATCCACGTACTGTAATAGTGGAGTTATGAGTCTCATAGGGGCTCCAAAAATAGGCAGTCATACAAGAGTTTAAAGAACCAAATGCTAGCATGGGAAAATGCTGTGCGATTTATTTTGCAGCCTCGTGTACGTACGCTGCAATTAAGATCTCGCAGGGTACTTCAGATACATACCTAGGACTATTTCGATACAATGTATTTTTATGACCAATCATGTACTACCCAACAATCTTAATTACAGGTATATATGTTACGATCAACTTGCTATGATGGTAATGGAATACTCTCCGTCACCTTCTCAATTTATGCACAATAAAAGGCTACGTCCTATAAACGGAACCATAATTGCCCACCGTACGAGACTGGTTGACAGCCATTACTAATGACAATCAAGACGCAACGTTTATGGTTCACATCCATAAATCCTTCGTGATCAAGTTGGGGACAGACTTTATTAGGGAAAATGAATTGCAAAGGAATAGACATGCTTAGAAAGGATTTCATAGACTTTTCAGTGTGCTTTAGTGAGCTGTTAGAAACACAGTCCTATATTAGGTCCTCCCAATTTTGTTACCATCATCTTAAGCTTGAGAAGTTCATTTTACCAGACTATGTCCTTTATGCTACCCGATGACATCAACTGCCCCCGTTCAGGGTGTTCGTCCTATAAACTTTAATTTGACCACACTATATCCTTTAATGCACCCAACGATATCGACTTTAACCGATAAGGTGCTATTGAGCACTCTTGATATAGTTATACGTTATTGGTGACTATTGTTTTTTACCCATGTTTTTGTTTCAGTTCCCTGGTTGCCAAGAAGCCTGCAAATTCCATGAGGATGCTTCCCTACGAGCCCAGCAGACCCAGCCAGTCATCCATACCAAGGGAGAAGGAGTGATACGTGTAGCCGGGGCCTTAGCAAGGTGGCCTAGGCCTACCAACGTCGATCCCAAAACACCTCTAGTCTACGTTGTGATGAGGAAAACACAGACAGGACCTTGGAGGCAAATAATCCAGACGCTAGATTACACTACAAGGGTTCCTGCGAATTCCGACCAGCCTGGTACAATGTTGAGGGTACTGGTAGTTGACCCACAAGGATTGGTGACGATATACAGCCCAGATGAAGCAAATTTGAGGGAAAATAAGAAAAGGAAGAAGACAATTAACACTGAAATTAAAGCGACTACAAGCAAAAGCACATCAGCTGATGATGCTCCTTGGGAGTTGAAAGAAATATCCCTTATCCATCAGAAGGTCTTGGTGATAGGTGAGATAGCTTGGGAGCCAAAAGCAATCAGAGGTGTCTATCTAGTCACCTGGGAGGTCGATGGAGGTGGTCTGAAAGGCAACCTTTTCACAGACTCTACTTGTGTCACACTTTCCCTCTGGCCTGACACCATCTACCACATTCAAGTGGAACTAGTGTCGCGAGTACCAGGTGCAGATAACCTCAAATCAGAAATGATGGACTTGGACACAGGCCGAGCCCAGAGAGTCTCCACTGAAACTGACATGAACGTTATGCCTGACGGCGAAGTACCACAAGATGGGGAATTCAGCTCACCACTCCTGTCTGTACTCTTTAGCGCTGTCAAGGGAGAAAGCACGAGGAAAAGGTACCACAACGTGGAACTGGTTCTTGGAGGATGTGCAGCGATAGTATTGTTCTTCATTGTGTTCGCCTTGACGGCTTGGAAATGCAGGAGAAGACAAGGCAAAGCAGCTGATAACATGATCACAGGGGTCAGTTCCATTAGGAGTCAGAAGCTGGTGGAGGATATCACCGGGTACACAGGTAATGTATTTTTTGACATCTTCCTCTTGTGATACTCGTATCTTCATCGAATCGCCTAACAATTTGGCCATTTTACCTTCATCATCACAAAACCTGAAAAGTGTCGTGTTATTCAAGGGTCACTAAGAAAAAAAACAGAAACATTGGATTACCTATTTTCTATCGGAAGGATCTCTTCCACTCTGCGGTATCGACGTAATTCACTGGTTCTTCTCTTCATCTCACACTGTCAACGAGCATTATCTTTGCTCGATACTGTGAAGAGGAGGGCTGTCCGACTGAACGATGGCTCTTTTCTAACGCACACTCTCGGGATCCTTTCGCACCGACGGGACGTCAGCAACCTGTCACTCTTTTGTCAATGAGTCACATCCCGCCTGACCCTTCATAACCATGACGAACTTCTTCCATCCAGGACTGACTTGTTTCAGCGCTCCTGTGTCCCTAGGGCTTCGAGGTTGTGGGACAATCAACCTCAGAAGGCTTCTACCAACCTCGACCTGATCAAAGATCGGACTACCAAAGATTCTTTAAGCTCCTTATCGCAGCCGCGACGCCAGGTATTTCGGCTTCTGACTCCGTGCCGCATCAGTAAATAAAAAATTAAATAGAAAATGCCTGAAAAAATGTATTGACCTCCAGGGAGATATCGAAGAATAATGATATTTTCAGATATTGACTTATCTCTTTCCATAAACTTTTTGAATGCTCAATGTTGACCTATATGTATAATCTGCACCATTGACAAATAACGAACCTGGACAAGTATACAATTAAAAAAAAACAATTCCATGGAGAATATTATTGAATAATTCCATTTGCCGCATTAATAGTGTATGTGGGTTAGTTACATATACCAGTATATTTGTACTGCATCGTTCAGTTTTAAAATCAAATACAGCGGTTCTGATCGATACTCCGGAATGGGAATGCGGTAATATTGCGGCCCGGTTATGTAAGTAGTCGCATGTCTTTTCGGGAGTCGTCCGAGGAGTTTTGCAGACATGCTACGAATCCACTAACGAGCTCTTACGTAATGCGGGTCCTTTGCCGTACTTCGTACTCCTAACTGGGTTACATGCAATACTTCAATAACAGTTTTCTCATCGTATATTCATTCCGCTTTTGAAATGCAGAAATCTCTCTGTTTTCGTCTGAGTTGCTTTTGGGAATACGAATATGGATATTTGAAGGAAATGGCTGAATGAGAACAGAAGAATATCGAATGTGAAATGGCTTAGCCTAAAACGTAGTGATAAGTGAAAGGTCTATCTTCCGTTAGGGTCCACTGTTTGTTCTCGTTAAACGGCGTTTTGAATTACTTGCAAAACATCTGACGATTTCTCATTCGATGTTGGACTTTGAGATTTGTTGCGGTACATCCGAGATTTGAAGAAGCCTAAAATATTTGGTGATGTGCAGCAAGGATTTGAGTGTCGCAAAACGAGCACAAATATACAGCGCGTGTCATCCCCCCCCCACTTATTTTTTGAACGACTCAAATTAGCAATCAGAAATTATGGGTAATATGATTGAAGCATAAAATAGCTATTGAAATTTTCAAGATGGCGGCTGGGTACCATGATGGATCGTTTGTCAGATGAAATGGGTGGGGAGGGACTCTCGCTGTATAACTTCTCCCAAACGGGGAATCCAAAGTTTGCGAATCCGGGACTGCTTCTTCTTCTTCTCTACATCTTCTTGCTTCTCCTAGCTTCTTTAAATTTTGGTAAATGGGGTAGCCAATGTGGAGATTAATAGTAAAAATATGGCTAAATTGGTCTTCTCAATGGGGCGGTCTTGGAACTGAAGATCTTCCTTGGTTTCTGGTTGAAGTACTTGAGGATTCTTCACTGATTTCAAGTTGAACTTTGAAACATCGACAAGGCTCTGCTTCGTGAAGTTAGTCATGCTCACGGTTGGTAACGGGAAAATGGTTTCTTGTTTTGTACGATCAGATGGAATAGAACTTCTGTTGATTAACTTCGGTACCGCATCTATGGAGTCCGATGAAACTTGGCTGGGAAATGACGATCAGGCCATCTTCTTGGAGATTATGAATGGACTGTGGTGTGTTCCCTTGGATTGACAACTACTTTCGATGGGGAAATTTACTGTATCTGAGTTTTTGACTGCTGGATGCTTGTTAGGGGACGTCTGTTGCAACCATTTTGAATAATTTCTACAAGACATGGATCTGCTTCTAGTAGGTCTTCATGCTTACAGGAGAGTAGTATGCATTCCAGTGGTCTTTCAAGTCGAAAATAAGGTATTGAGACTTTTGAATCAGGGTGACAGATGCGAGCAATGAACGAGTATTCATCATCTATGCTTGTCACTGTGAGTGAGTTACCCTATGTGTTATTTGGTGTTCCATTTGAGTTTACTATTGTGGAACTTCATAATATAAGATAGCGATACATAAAAATATAGAGGATATTGATAGTTTTGTTAAATTTATTGGAGTTTTTACTCAATTAATGCGTACCAGAACAGCTACGTTGAAGTTATATTTGCGCAGTGTGCAATTTCCCCTATGGAAGGTCAGCTCCGCTCATAGTGTAGTTAGTTTACTTATTTCGTATAACATAATAAAAGTTATGTATTATCGAGGAGATGTAATATGCATTGCATTCGTAAGATCAGATTTAAATAATGAACAACATTGAATTTTTTAAACATCAACAAAGTCAGACACTCTACAAACTCTTATCTAACAAAGCATGTTTTAAACTGCGTCAACGTGGTACATAGTTTCACTTCATTGGGTAAGTTATTGTTATTATTGGTCCCAAGACACTGGGCGGCTTCCCATCCTTTTGATATCTTATGAAAGGCACAACATACATACCTATGCCTAGTATGAAAATTATGCAGATCCTTGTGCAACATGAAATTACCTTTGTTCTTGTACACGTATATTGCCAAGACGTCGTATATGATCAAAGGAAACAATGTTAAAATTATTGTAGTGCCGAAATGTCTCCGTAAAACAGCAGCAACACTGGTCATCACTCTTTTCTGGCATAAGAAAACATACATATGTACAATATTGTTACGTATCCATCAAAAATCATGAAAATACATATAGAATTGAACTCATCCAACTCTCGCTGCGTTATACAGAACATGTGACATACATAAAATATACACTGAAGAGACTTGCACAGACACTTGAGCCATATTCAGAAGTGCTTTTCTACATATGCAAGGATGGAATCATCCTGCACTTATAATTAACGTAACCTACATCTCGCATCCATGCTTTCGGTTACTGAACCTCAGTCTTTTTCACAGTGCATGATATAAAAAATTTCATGCCAGGAATGAGATGGTGCAGCAATAAAATTATTTCGTTAAAGTTTCAGTTCGTTTGAGTTAATTGGTTGCTCGCGTTACTTTCTGCATTTCCGGTTATCCTATCAAATCGGACGGAAATATAGTAAATAATGTAGTTGCATAATATTGCATGTGCTCTGGCAATAGCAATGCTATGAAATTTTTAGTATTGAAATTGTGCAATAATTACGACTAGGACCTGTGTTTGAGTTGCAACGATATTTTATCATTGGAGAGTATAGTGACTGACCTACTCTACAAACTTGCATTTGTAGAGATAAAGTCAACTGATTCGTATATAAGTCGGCATACCCTTTTATGGAGTTATTAGAATTATTAGGCATACAAATCGTGGGAAATGAATGAAGTTAATAATAAAATGTTCGCGTAGTTTCGAAATGGAGATATCATTACTTGACAAGTACACCGTTCCACTCATCTCCGTCTATCTAAATGTTGTCTGTCCCCTCTATAACTTGGAAAGTAACGCTCAGAATGCATGAAATTCTCACATAAAGTTATTGGCAATCCAAGGATGAAAAACTTTGTGTTATGGAAATCCATCCAGTGTAGGCTGACACATGAAAAATTTGAAAACCTATAGCTTTGTTCATGGTTACTGGTATATTTGAGTCAAAAAAATTACAAAATCCACGGTTTCAATATTGTGAAGACTTCAAGGACGCCTAAAAATTCTTTTAGGGGGTCAAATCTAAGATCAAGCAATTCTCATCTCCCACTTGTTATCAAAGATGGTCCAGTTTTCGTAAACCTAAAGATTTAAACAGCTTCATTCAGATAAATGCGTACCAATTATTGGGTCTTACTTATAAATCATATTATTTTGCAGTCTCAGGTGCAACATGTTTTACGCCATATATGTAATTTGCTTGAGAGTTTTGAAATATTATCATTAGTGATTATATAAAGCACTCTGTTTCTACTGATAAGCTTGATAACCCACACACCTATCTCTTGCCGATTACTTAATTTAGTGCCATAACATAATTTGGCCTATGTTATCAACTGACACTATCCAATTTCAAAGAGTTTGTACAGGATAGTTGCAATGGCAAATCTCACAGGTCACTGGGCTCACATACTTTTTTCGAATTACCTGCTGAAATATTACAAGTCAGACTTATCCCATGATTCTCCATTTTCTGAGGACTAAATTTTTTTGACATAGTTCTGCAAACTTATCTCCTATTTTCAACCCAGTAATAAAGCTTGAAGAAAAATGAACTACTGAATTGTATGATTTCTCAATTGACTACTGAATATGACATAAGCTGATTTTGGACGTTTGTTAGAGAAGTTCAGTTTGAAGTTATCTGAAGCTTATTTATGTTCACTTTTGTTCTTCAACCCAACATAAGGGTTATCCTTTAAGGACGGCTTTTCAATCACAGAGTGACTCTAATTTTACTGATCACTAACAGTTAACTCTCGTAAATTGTTTTTTAATGTCAGGTTCACCCTAAAACTGTAGTTAACTTTAATCAGGACCATCTAACAGTTGAATAAAAAGTTCAAATGTACCATTTGTAACGTATCCTGTAGTTTTCATGCTGATAATCCCCCAGGCTTGCTTGGTCGAGCCAGACCACATATGTTTAAAGTTCCTCTTTATTGAGCGTCGTTTCGGTCCCAGGTTTAGTTGGTTAATCCTAAAAATGTATTAAATCTCAAATTCAAAGACTTACGGCCGTATCGTCAGTCGTTCCTACAATTGTAGGACGCCTTTATGGTTTCCTTGATTTTCATAGTTTTCTGCTCCTCCGTGTTAGCACTCTATTTTGAGGTTATGTTCAAATATCTATTTGCGTGAAATTGTTCATGCTTTTGATTTATATCATCTGTTATATATCCTGAAATTTCCTACAATTAAAGAAGAAAACATAGCCTGACAATAGGTGACAGCTTTCGCTGACACGGAACTGTAGAAATCTAGAAATATCCCAGCATTTCTGAAGGAGAGGGAAGACTATCAAAATCATAAACGCATCTTACAATTGTAGAAACGACTGATGATTAGGCCCTTAAGTTCCCATCTATATCCCTGTTCCACCGCGCCTCCCCCCCCCCCCCTTTGTTCGTACGTAAGGGGTTTGTCAACGAAAAGGCGTTTGCAAAAAATTTAGTGCAATAACTGTCTTCAAAACAACTAATACACTAAGATGTCTACTGTGCCATACAAAGAAAATATAGACACAAAAAATAGAAACCTGGAAATTGTCACTAGAAAGCATCTATGAGAAACAGCACAAAATGGGAGAAAGTCTCAGTACTATACAACGAGGAAAATAATTACAAAAGGGAGGTAAAACAATCAGATAATTGTCCTTCTAGTTCTTCTGTGGACTGTGATCCAATTTGGTTGAGCATTCTTGAAGGAAAGATCTAATTGGCATCCTCCAACGACCCATTTATACTTCTATGTTTTTCTTATGGTTTGTTGTTGAGCTTAACTCACTTCGCTATCTCAAGGCCAAACCGTTGTGTCTTATATTATTCCCTCACAAGACTAACATCACGAAAAACAAGGTGTCACCTGGACGACAGATAAATAAATAATATGTTGTTAATGAATGTCAATACAACTTGAATAAGATAACAGTTGAAACGTCGATAAATGAAGAAGAACTTGAAACGTATGAGGTTTTGATTGACCAGACAAACGTGAGGGATTCGAAAGTTTGAGTCAAACTACAATGCCTAACTTACATTCTTTGAATGACAGTGGCATGAACTGACAGGGATGACACGAGACACAAACACGAAACCCCAGGAAACAAGGAGAACACGATACCTCAAACGCTAGAGCAGCGTTGCCACATCCATAGTCATAGTCTAGTTAATAAGAACTTGGAGGAGATTTTAAGGATAACTCGTAGTTACTTCCAAGTCAGTGTTACCTATCTTGAAAGTTAAGCTGCAATTGAGAAACCGGGGTTTAAGCTCAACAGAGTCAACAGAGTATGTTCAAAGTTCATCTTGAAGCTCTTTGGGCGAGATCAGACAAAACATGAAAACCATTCCGTGAAGCAAACGCAGCGGATAAATTAGTTTTGATATATCAGAACGAGTTGGGGGCTCCGCTTCGCCGCTTGGAAGTTGAAGCTTAAATTGATTATGTTTGAGGACTGGAAAGTCAACATCGGTTCCGCGGTGTTTTCCTTACAATTATGTGGGGCGCCTTACGGGTTATTAACGCAGGCTCTCTGACCTTCGACTATTCACTGGAACTGGTTTAAATTGTTTGTTTGATAACTTGGGGTTGAACGTGCTCATGCTATAGCCTCAAGGGCATATTAAAGGGTTATTGGATGTTAGACGCTTTAATCTTAGAACAGGTCAATATATAGTTTACCAAAATATGTGGGCAAAATTGAATGCATGATTATTAGAGCTCTTCGAATATACAGAGCATCCCAACCGTCCGCGGACGGAGTATTGATCCTAAACAAAAAGTTCTCGAAAAAAACTATTCACGCATTATTATATAAGGTATCTGGAGGCATATGCATAAAATATTCACAAATATACAGGGTGCCCCAATTTTAACCCACATACCAAAGTTGATTTTCTAAATGGAATGCACCACCTTTTATTACATATCCTCATAGGCCCTTTTAAAGGAAGGGGGTTGGTATAACATACTTATATGAGTATGGATATTTCATAATTGGAGTGGTAAATTTTGTGGTAATAATATTCAGCTAAACTCAATTTTAGCCTAATACATTCATTTTTTTATTCGAATAATGTCAAAAACGCAAAATATACTTTTTAGAGAAAACATTAAAAGGAACACCCTGTATAGTGTTGTACTATATGATCTTCATTTACTTGATAAAAGGTTGTCACCCGTTTGTTCAAGCGGTTTCTGCGTTAAAGCTATTTGTTTAAGAAAATTGGATATTTCTCTATTCAAACAAGCCTCATCATCAATGGAAACAGAATTCTCAAAAAGTAGTTGACCAATCGGGTCCAATTTTGTTTTCTTTATTTAGATGTATGAAGCCTACGTATTTGAAGAATTCCAGGTATCTGTGTGAAACTATCGTCGCATTACCAACAAGTGTTAAAACCTGCATCTTTTTACTATTAGTCAGATCTCTTTACGTATGGCCTCATTTTGTGGGTTTCATAAATACCTAAAAACCTTATTCGAAGGGTGTTTTCATTCCTGCCAACACTTTCGATTGAATCCCGAAAAACAAGTTTTCTCATTATTTGTTGTCGAATAAAAAGTTTTCCCACAAGAACTGGTTATCCATTTTATGCGTCCATGATTTGAATACCCCCTTGAACAACTTGCATCAATAAAACCAGACTTTACAATTATTTCGCAAACCATAGGTATTCGGTCTAAATTAGATTAGACTAAATTACTTAATAGGCCTTGTAAGGAAAATCAGCGCTGGTCTGAACAATTACTTCAGTAGTGCTGCGGAAGGGCTACAATCTGATGAACTTGACCATTATTTAATTAGTTGAGCACCTTTAGCTTGAAGATGCAGCATGTAACAATCCTGTTTTTCTTGTTCCAGGATTCCAACCCATAATCCCTGTAATGACACCTCCGGCGAACCCGCTGTCAATCAGCGAACCACCAGAGGTAGTCTTCCAGGGCTCCAACACCACCAACTACAACCTGCACCAGGAAAAGTGTACAGTGCAGGTGTGACGTCACGGCTGCTACGATTCCTTGCAGGACCGTATTGGCTGAAAGGAGAGTTCCTAAGACTGCTTGACGATTTGTGAATAGTGTTTGGTGGTCATTGGGAATAGACCAAATGACGGTGGGACGGGCAAGTGAATGGTGTCTGTAATCTGGTGCTTCTAGAGGGGAGGAATTTAACATTTTGCTTTAGTTACATGTGGATACAACACCGGCAACAGTTAAAGCACATAAAGTAAAGCAACCAGATGTACCTACTGTTTATGCTGGACAGCTACCAAAGAACCTTTGGTTTTTGCCATTTTTTGTTCATTTTCCCATGTTCATTTACAGAAACACACAATTGAAAATTTAAGTTTTTCGAAGTAAAAGTACACAGTTAGTAGTGGTACTACTTTCTGAAATTCTATTAGCACTTGATTACTTGACAAATTGTAAATGTGTATAAAAACTAGTCTTTATTTGAGAGAATGCTGAAGAGTTTGCTGAAGAGTCCTAAAATGTATTTGATGTAACTGCATTACGCGTTAAAGCTGCAAAAACTTTACACGTTTTAGATCGGTTGCAGGATGAGCTTGGAGATACATACATAAATTTTGGAAATTCATTACATTAAATATACATTGGACCCATCTGTAGTAACTAGTGCACCTGTTACAGATATAATAATTTAAACAATTACGAGTATATGCAAGGTTGTGGAATATAAGTTCACATTATTATAGAATTTCACAACGAATGCTATATAGGGTCAGGCTCTGTAAGAAACTACAAGAGTTACATTTTATTATGTACTAAAATGAATGGATTTCCAAAAATGAATGGTGTTGCTATCAAATAGATAGTACGACAAAGCTGTGCAAGTAAGTTGGCTCTAATTTGCTTATATAGCCGAAGGTTCATTTTTATCGTTTTCTAGCATTTGTATCTATTGAAAAATTATTACGTTTTTTGACTGTGTTATTTTAGTTAATTTATTCAACTTTCATAGATATGATATTTAAGATAAAAATGAATTGTAATTAAAATGTACATACTATAAAGCTATAAGAAGTGAGAGTCTGATACATAGAGATTTAAAAAAAATTAACGTGTCGGAAGGTGATTGTCAATATTAAGATCTTAATCATTGTAGCAATGTTCAACTATAGATATAGGCGTGAGTGTTCATGACTTGAGGCGAAGCTTATGATTGAAATGAACTTGTAGTGCCAAAGCAAACGTCAGACAAGTTATGTATTGAATGGACAAAACTAATGAAACCGAAAGATGAAAGACCTTTTGCACAACCTTATAAGTAAATATTTCAAGGTTTTCAGTTGAGCTTATAGATGGTGATGATCATGATGGTGATTTAATAACTATACTGAAGATGCTGAGACGAGTCAACTCTGGCGTCAGACGTTGTTTCGCGGATTTTCGTAAAAGAAAATTCAGAGCACAAGTGTTTCATGTTATCAGTTATTTCAGTAGCTGATTTAAAACTTCAACATGTTTCTCAGTAGAAGTATCATTAGTCTTATCCATTCCTGAGTTGCTGACCGATTGAAATAAGAAATGAACGCTCATGGATTTTAGAGGCTTCTCCAATTTTATGTCTCGTATTTTATACGTTAAGATGCATCGCAGACAAGAGCTTAAAGGTATGCGTCAACTGGGACCCAACGTTCGGAACGTAGGCACGACATGTAATAGATTTTAGTTGGTAACCAGGTTTATTGGATCCCTTGCGTACCGTGCGTGCGTTACAACTGGTACGGACTAGTGGACGAGTATCTTAATACATATCCATCCTCTTTTAAATAATTGCACATTGAATTGAAATTCAAAGCTATGGTGTCAAAGCCTTTTTAGAGAGGAGTATGCCAGGATATGTCGGTGTTGCATCGCATATTTATTGATTTTGAGCTACAATTTTATCCCTTATGGTTGTTTCAAAATATGCCATAATACCTTTTTATGATTTTTGTAAATATTTTCGTGTATTATAAATTCTCTACCACATATTGTATAAGTTATTTTTCTATTAAAATCATGGTCTCAGTCAGTTCCATGGCTAAATGTAAATATTTATTATTACGATGAATATGATTATCTGTGGAAATTATATATTTGTATTATTTCCGTCTAGCCCACAAAAACTCAAACACCTATCAAACTGGTATTAAGTTACATTAATGCTGCTGTGCCGCTTCAAGAAATATAGAATTATATTCACATTAGTAACGTATTAATAACTGGTTTCAGGATATTTGTAGACAATACACCGAGTAGCTTTTCTATTAATACAAATGGCTATTTAATGGTTATAATTATCTTGGAGACATAAAATTGAATCGTGTAGAGAAAGATCCCAGGGCTTCCAGAGGAACAGGGGAGGTTGGTCGGGGTTCGGAATGAGTCTACGGCAACGCATCCTCAAACATCAAGAAACTTAAATTTCCGTGAGGGGGGTTAAAAATCCTCCATTTTTTGATGAAAACATTGTTTTGTTAGTTTAATCTATCTAATATTACGTATTGATCTGGCTTTGTTGAAAAGCAAAGCGTCCTCCTCCTCGCATACACTCGGACTTACTGAACGGATTTCAGCAGCCCAAGGTAGTCATTCTAAACGGTGGACCTTATGGTAGTTCCAGATATGCAGCGCCATCTATCGGAGAGTAGCCGCCACCAAAAAATTCGTTCAGTTGGGCTACCATCCCATAGATGGCGCTTCTTTGTAAAGTGTTTTCACAGACCTCACAAAATTTAACTAGTCAAAAAGATCCTTAAGGGGCGGTTGGTCGGGGTTTGGGTGGTTTTCTATGGCAACGAATCTTCAATGATCAAGAATCTTAAATTTCCGTGAGGGGGGTTAAAATCCCCCCATTTTTTGATGAAAAGATTATTTTATAATATTCTAATATTACGTATTGGATTTGGCTTTGTTGAAAAACAAAGCGTCCTCCTCCTTGCTTGCATTGGGGATTACTGAACGTATTTCACCAGCCCAAGGTAGTCATTCAAAATGGTGGACCTTGTGGTAGCTACCGATATGCAGCGCCATCTATTGGAGAGTAGCCGCCACAAAAAAAAATCGTTCAGTTGGGCTACCATCCCATAGATGGCGCTTCTTTGTGAAGTGCTGTCACAGACCTCACAAAATTTAACTAGTCAAAAAGATCCTTTAGGGGCGGTTGGTCGGGGTTTGGGTGGTTTTCTATGGCAACGAATCTTCAATGATCAAGAATCTTAACTTTCCGTGAGGGGGGTTAAATTCCCCCCATTTTTTGATGAAAAGATTATTTTGATTGGATTAGTTTACTATATTCTAATATTACGTATTGGATTTTGCTTTGTTGGAAAACAAAGCGTCCTCCTCCTTTCTTGCACTGGGGATTACTGAACGGATTTCACCAGCCCAAGGTAGTCATTCAAAACGGTGGACCTTGTGGTAGCTACCGATATACAGCGCCATCTATTGGAGAGTAGCCGAATGAAAAATATTCATCGGTATACCTTTCTCAAATGATTTTATGGTACATCTGTAAAATAAGGCCCTTGAAATACTATACTCAAAAAATCTTACTAAATACGAAGCTATGATGGCGCCATCTATAAGAAGGTAGCGGAACTAAAAATACGACTATCAAGGTGACGTCACAAATACAGATTTCTGCTTATCTCGAACGTTATCATTGAGTGAAAATTCGTTCACAGAAGTAGCCACACTGTGACAGCATCAAATGCAAACTGCCAGTCAGCGGGCTGCTCTCATTCCCGAATTTGTTACTTCTACTAGTTCTTCGGTATACCTGTGTATAAAATGTTATCCTTATATTTCCATCACTGCAAAATCAAGATAACTCCATTTTTCTACTCTTTTTGAGTAGAATACACTTTCAAACATATACCTGTTCCGGATAAAACAGTTAATTTTCGTTTATTCTATTTGTTTATTTGAATAAGATTTTTACTCCATTAAAACCCGCGTTTGCCCACTCGAATAATCAACCGATGTCAAACTTGTAAATTCTAATTGCAAAAACTTCTTTTTGGGAGTTACCTGGTTCTTGCAGTAACCCGACGATAAGCCAATTAATAGTAAGGTAGACGTAATTTAAGAGCGTAAAACCGACCTTTTGAGTACGTGTTTCATAATCTCTAGTTAGTTGACTGTACATATATTATACACGGTGTTTCAAATTCGACCCTCGCTCTTGGGATCTCGGAAACTGTAAGAGATACGAAGTCGCTTATACAGCGTGTTTCTCAACTTATCCGGCACATTATAACCACGTATGCACCGTTACGAAAGAAGTTGATTTCTCAAAAAGAAAATGTAACAAAAGTCCTACAGAAATCGAGATAATAAAATAATATGTAATATGCGCCACGCTGTTGCATGTGACACTTCTGGAACCTGTTGGGCTAACTGGCTTGTGCTTATTCCCGAATTTTATTCCACAATATCCAAAATTCCGTCTTCGGCATTTAAAACGAGTTGCGGGCGAACCCGACCTCCATCCAGTCCACGTCTGGGGCACAAATCTTCACTAGCACGTGCACGTAAAACAATTGCCATTTTTATTAATAAATAACTAAAAACATAAACTGGCAAAATACTTTTTTATTTAACTTCACAAAAATCGACCGTTCTTCATTCAGAACACCCATGATACAGATTAAACCTTATTTACACGTTCCTATCAGTATGGAAAAACAAAAAATTCCAGGTATTTTGTTTTTGTCAGTTGTTTAGTACAAAATTTGGTACAGTAAATTATTGATGCGTGTTCTAATATCGCGACGATGAACGCAAAATACAGACATTTATTTTTCAATTCAATATTGAAACTCAGGTTTATAACTTTTGAGGAATCAACTTCTTTCGTAACAGTGCATATGTGGTTAAAATTTGTCGGGTAACTTTTATGAAACACCCTGTATGGGGCAAAGTTACGTATTTAAGTAATCAAAAAAATCTTTTTTCAAACAAAAATTCCTTGTGCCTGAAAAAAATGTGAGAGCCATATTTTTGTGACAACCCTCGTATTATGACTTGACCTATACCCCGTTTCTTGCTTGACGCCGACTTCTGGGACACCCTGTATAGTATCTAAATGTCGCCTCCTGTAACGTCATTACAAATAAAAAGACATTAATTATCATTATTTGTTAAAAAGAATTTGACATCGACTTGCATAGCAAGTTATGGAAAATTTATCCGAGGACATTCTGACAAAAAGTTGTATTACTTCCTGGGCTATCATGAGCAACATGTGGTTTAGTGGTGGACTACTGAGAAACACATACAATTATGAATCACTGTTATTGTATAGGAAGATCTCCTGACCGTGTTCAAAAAATCTGTCCACTCTCAAACCTGATATTAGATGTTCGCAGAATGCTTTCGGTAGATATTTTCCGACTGTTTAATTCCAAAAAATGTGGCAAACCGCATTCTATCGAAATGGTCCCTTTCCAGCGCTCATATGAGAATATAGTATAGAGGTATTTTTATATGAGTGCAAAGAAAATAGTAGCATTTGATATAAAAATATATTTATTTATCAAAAAAAGCTTCTCAACATGAGAATATGATACTTCAAATTCTTAGTACCTCTAAAATAGAAAAGGCTCATGTATATGCATATCTATGTGGTTTTAGGTTATGCCAGAGGGTACGAAGAGTCTGTAGCAATTCCGCATGTATTCTGGCCATCTTTCTTCAGCCTGAAGTATCCTTTTTCTCCCCAGTCAGCACCCCATGAGTTTTTCACTATCCAGTATTCGATGCCTTTCTCTTCTCCATATCCAACCACCAAAACACCATGATTCATGGAATATCTGTCACTGTCACAGCCACATGTGCTGTCCACGATGCCATGACTGTAACTCGACATGCAACTGGCGTCCATACAACAGGATATTGGACCTATAGTTGCTGTAATATACCATAAATAAAAATACCTATTTTGATTGCCTAAGCAGTTCTTCCACATTATCGTAATAGTAGTACATTAACACAGCAAGGATAGTCAGTTATGGAACTATAAGCTAATACTAATTACACAGAAAATTATATCAATAGAGGTTTAGACCTCGAGACTCACCAACTGCTTGAGTAAGCGCGTTCTCGTCTTTAATGGTAATGTTGATATACGATTTTATTTTGAATCCATTCCCTTTTTGCTTGCATGACTCTTGATGTCCCTTGTATGGATATTCATTTTCCGTGAGGATTCCTTTGTCTTTGACGTAGTCGTAAGCGTAGCTCATGAGCCCCCCCTTGCATCCCATGTTACCATATGTACCATCAGCACAGTCTACAAGATCTTGTGCACTCAAGTCCAGTAAGGTCCCATTGCTCTTATAATGTTGCCCTTCCAAAGCTCCCACCTACAAAAAAGAGATTTTTAGAAATATGCTCTGTCAAAGAATTTCTTGTTCTTAGCTCTAGTTAGGTACTTTTGTGTACATACTGCGCTAAAAGCCCAACAAGAGCCACACATTCCTTGGTCTTTCACTTTAGTCACCGCCCCCTGGTTTCTCCAGTCAATAGTTTTGGGAAGTTCTTTAATATGAACACTGGATGGTTGATCATCAGTTGATTCGTGTGCAGCGTCTTGTGAATAGTCCGATGACCTCATTCCTCCACCATACGAATTCATCAAGAAATCTTTTAATTCCTTTTCTGTCATATCTGTGAATTTGGTGACCTTCATGGCATAGGTTACTTCGCCTTTGTTAAACCTTTCATTGTGATCTAGTATCTTCTTTAAATTCTCGTGGAAAACACTGAAACGTCTTCTATCTTCGACGGAAGAGGTGTATGCTTTTCCATGCCTAATCTAAAATATTATTAAAATGTAGGTTAAGCAAAGGCGAAAGGGATGTATAATAGTTCAATTCAATTTCCAGGATTTGAATCAGAAAATATATAGATGTTTCTGTGATTAACTTACCTTAAAGTTCTTCCACTCTTCCAAATCGGCAGTAACACCAGCAAAAAACAAGAAGAATAAAGCACACTTCATGTTAGAACAGAAAGTATTCGCTTTCAGTAAAATAATCTGTTATGAACTTGAAGCAATATGAAAGCTTGGCAGCTTATGATAATTTT